TGCCTGTATGTCTCTCTCTCTCTCTCTCTCTCTATCTATCTATCTATCTGTCTGTCTGTCTATCTATCTGTCTCTCTGTCTATCTATTTTTTTATCTAATTACATGTTTTTCTCCCGTGATTTACTGTTTTCTAAGTGTTTGTATCTTTATCCGTCATTGGCTGATTTACACATGTTAAATGACCGAAATTTACATTTAATTGTTGATTACTACTTCGGTTTTTAATACGACGGCGGTTATATTTCGTAATAAAATTGTTGCCTAGAAATCTTTCATGTAAACCAGTGACTCTCATGGAATGTTCAAAGAAGTTCTCTCTCTCTCTCTCTCTCTCTCTCTCTCTCTCTCTCTCTCTCTCTCTCTCTCTCTCTCTCTCTCTCTCTCTCTCTCTCTCTCTCTCTCTCTCTCTCTCTTTCGCTCGCTCTCTCGCTCTCTCTCTTTCTCTCTCTCTTTCGCTCTCTCTCTCTCTCTCTCTCTCTCTCTCTCTCTCTCTCTCTCTCTCTTTCGCTCGCTCTCTCGCTCTCTCTCTTTCTCTCGCTCTCTCGCTCTCTCTCTCTCTCTCTCTCTCTCTCTCTCTCTCTCTCTCTCTCTCTCTCTCTTTCTCTCTCTCCCTCTCTCTCACTCTTTCTCTCTCTTATCATTTTTATGTTTGTTCTTACTATCATTTTTCATCATGGCTAATAATATATTTATATTATCATTATCTTTATTAGCTTTATTTTTATTATGTTTATTGCCTTTATTAATTCTATCATTATTATTATCACTGTTATTAGTATTGGTATCATTACTATTACTATTATTATTATCATTATTACTATTATTATTATTGTAATCATTATTATTGTTATTTTGATTTATTATCATTAATATTATTATCATTATTATTATTACTATTATTATTATTATCTTTATTGTCATTATTATCATTACTATAATTACTATTATTACTATTATTGTTATTATTATTACTATTATCATTATTATTGTTATTATTATTATTATTATTATTATTATTATTATTAGTTATTTTTATTTATTATTATTATTATTATTATTATTATTATTATTATTATTATTATCATTGTTATTTTTATTTATTATTATTGTTATTCTTGTTATTATTATTATCATTATTATCATTATTATTATTATTATTATTATCATTATCATTATTGTTATCTTTATTATTGTTATTTCTATCATTGTTATTACCATCATTCAAATAATAATAATTGTTATTATTGTTCTTGTTGTTGTCATCATCATCATCAGTTTCTGTTTTGACATTTTTTATTTTGATTTTCTCAGATTCTTTTATTCTAGCTTTTATTTACTATTTACTTTTAAATACATTTTTTTTTAACATGTTCCTTCGTTCTCTGGGGCTCTGGCTTTTTTAGTTCATCAGTTCTCTTTCTCTTCCTCTCTTTCTCTTTCTCTCGCTCTCTCTCTCTCTCTCTCTCTCTCTCTCTCTCTCTCTCTCTCTCTCTCTCTCTCTCTCTCTGTCACACACACACACATATATGTTTATATATACACACATCTATCTATATCTATCTATCTATCTATCTATCTATATATATATAAACATATGTGTGTGTGTGTATACATGTATATATACACATATAAATACATATGTACATTTATATAGTACGTAATTTAATCAATTTCGCGATGGCGGTAAAAGCAAGAAACATATATGCCCATATACTGTACTTTTGCATGCACTTATATGAACATTACATGCCTCTGTACTAAATACACATACAAGTGTGCATATAATCAATGCACATACATATATAAGTAATCTATATAAATAATACCCACAAGCATTTTATATATACGTATATATGCCCATAGACGCAAGTATGTATGTCCGTACGCATTCCTTACTGGGTAAAGTCTGGAGTCCCGAATACCGGAGCGTATTGTACAACGACCACTTAGCGTGTTAAGGGTCGTTATATGCAGGTGGTCGTGAGTTTGGTCCGAATTTCTGCCACGGCGCCTCTGAATATTCTTTTTTTTTTTCTTTCTTTTTTTGTGTTCGGATACGAAAGGAAAGAGGGAGAGGGAGAGAAAGAAAAAAATATCCTTCCTCATTCTTCGTTGTTTTTCATTTATTCTTCATTTGTTCTATTTCCTTTTTCGTGTTTTTTTCTATCTTATTCTTTTTTTCTAATCACTTCTTTCTTTTTTTCTTTTTGACTTCGTTTGTTTTGTTTATTACTTATCCTCCTTTCTTCTACTTTCTCCTCCGTTTATGCACAGTCCTCTTTCTCTTCCTTCACTTTCTATCCCTCTTCTCATCTTCCTCTTTCTTTCCCCCTCTCTCCGTCTCTCCTTCCTTCCCTCTCTTCTCTCCATCCCATCTTATCCTTCTCTCCTCTTCTCCTCTCTGTCTCTTCTTCCTCTCTCGTCTCCTCTTCTCCCTTCCTTTTTCTTTCACCTTTTCTACTTCTTTCTCCTTCTTTTTATACTTATCACTAACCTTCAGTGAATAAAATAAAAAAAAGAGTGATAACAGAGAGAGAGAAAAAAACAACGAAAAACGAAATGAACAAAAAATGAAAAGAAAAACATGAACGAAAGACCATAAAAGTAATTTTACGGGGAAATAAATATATATATATTTTTTTAGCATTTTCGCTCAGCATAGAACTGTTTCTTAAAATCGTATTCAGTGAAAAGATAGGTAGATAAAGATAAATAGAATGATAGATACTTATATATATGGAGATATAGATATATGGGTAGATGTATAGATAGATAGAGAGAGAGAGAGAGAGAGAGAGAGAGAGAGAGAGAGAGAGAGAGAGAGAGAGTGAGAGAGAGAGAGAGAGAGAGAGAAGGAGAGAGAGAGAGAGAGTGAGAGTGAGAGAGAGAGAGAGAGAGAGAGAGAAGGAGAGAGAGAGAGAGATAGTGATAGGTAGATAGATAGATAGATAGATAGATAGATATAGAGAGAGTAAACGTGAATCAAAATAGTAATTTTAAAATATACGGATGTTTTTTCAGAATTTCAAAATTTAGAATATAAGATGTTAAATATACAGATGTTAAAGAATGATTTTTTTTCTAATTATAATTTGAATCACGGACTGTTATCTGAAGAACAACCTTATCAAAATATCTAGAACAATAAATGATAATGATAACAAAAAAGGAAAAACAAATATTCAGAGAAAAACAGCAAAAATGTATTAAAAAAAAGAGAGATCAGTATACATTTTTTTTCTTCACGATATGTAACCATAGTCTTAAGTTGAAAGATAAGGCAAAAGAAGCCTCTTTCTGGAAAAAAAAAATATCCTTGAAACAGCGTGACTCAGCAAAATCCTTTACGAAGCTGTTATGTGTAAGAAGAAAGAAAAACGAACATTTTTTCCCATTTTTTAAAAAAAGATTCCCGAAAAACGTTGCATGAGTTGCAGTTACCAGAGAGTTTTGTAATATGTTTTTTTTTTTCTAATATTTTTTTTACGGTGTAACTTCGATGCCATTTTTGTGATCTTGTAGAATCTGAGGTCAGATACGTAAGAGAGAAAACGGCATCAAAACATGTTTCTAAGGATTACATAAAAGGAATGGCTAAGTTTAATGGTATATTTTCAAACTAACAACTCAAACACAACTAAGGATAAAATCGTTATATCTACAAAGTTTGCACATGTGACCGTATTGAGCTAGCTGTACTAGTAAAGCAATCTGCTTAATATTCGTACAAGTTGCAAATGGATTTTAAGAAATACAACCAAAAACGTTATGAAAAAATATTCACAAAAAACAAAACAAGGCAGGCAGGCGAGGCCGCTCATTGGCTCATTCAAATTTAACGGCTTTCGCGGGCGCGCCAATGACCAGGAGGCTCTGCGACGTCCAGAAGACGGCGCTCATGGCGAAGCAGAGGACGAGGGCGCCGTCCAGCATCGGGGCGCCGGAGATGGGCGTCGCGCGGGCGTAGAGCAGGAAGGCGGCGCAGCGGGCGGACTCCAGCAGCGGCGCCCAACGCCACCCGTCGAACATGGAGCCGAGGACGCCCACCGTCACGAAGATGAACGAGAGGAAGGTGGCAACCGTGTACCAGGGAGATACCTGGCGAAGGAGGAAGGGCTTCAGCGAACGGAAGGGGGGGTGGGGGGTGGGGGGAAGGACACAGAAGAGATGGATGGGGGGTGTCTGCGAGTAGGGGGGGTGAAGGTATGGAGGTATGGGTAGGGGAAGGTGTGGGGGGGGGGGGGGAGAAAAGGTATGGACGAGTGAGCAGCGGTGGGGGCTCAGTGAGTGGGGAGAGGGGGGGGGAGGTGAGGTTACAAGGGTACGGGAAGGGGATGAGTGAGTGGCCCAAGGGATGTGGGTATGGGGGGGGGGGGCTGCTGAATAATACAGAAGAAGGGTGGAAAAAGGGAGACTAAAAGACAAAAAAAAAAAAATCTCAATTATCAGGAATCATCGAGGTGGAACACGTTTCATGGCCGGAAGGGTTGGCATTTCCTTATACCATTTCATATTTCTGTACATCGACTATACACACACACACACACACACACACACACACACACACACACACACACACACACACACACGCACGCACCCGCGCGCGCGCACAGACACACACACACATATCTATATCTATCTATCTATCTATCTACATATTTAGAGAGAGAGAGAGAAAGAGAGAGAGAGAGAGAGAGAGAGAGAGAGAGAGAGAGAGAGAGAGAGAGAGAGAGAGAGAGAGAGAGAGAGAGAGAGAGAGAGAGAGAGAGAGAAAGAAATAGAGAGAGAGAGTTAAAGAGAGAGAGAGAGTTAAAGAGAGAGAGAAGGTTAAAGAGAAAGAGGGAGACGGACAGACAGAGAGTTAAAAAAAGAGACAGTTAAAGAGAGAAAAACATCGAGAGACAAACAGACTGAGAGACAAACAAAGAGAATAAAAAGCGAAAGAGAGACAAAGACAAAAAAAAAAATCACAATATCATACATCACAAGAAACAAAAAA